CCTCAACGGGCGATGCTGAAACGAAGGCCTTGGCCCAGTCCAAGGCAAGTAACGCAGACCACCCTTGCTTCGTTGTCAAAACATCCTCAATGACCCGTCTTGTCATGAAGATAGCGCCAACCGCTCCACGCCCAGATCACAAGCCAAATTGCTATCGCCATATCTGGTCTTCGGTCCCTGTCTCTTTCAGCTTTCGTAGCGCGACCGCGACGCACGTTCTGCATCCGATTGGGAGAAGGCCGACGATTCTGTGATTGTTGCGCGCCGACAAGCCGCCCTTCCCATATATCCGCCGATCCGGCGCGTGAGTTCGGGGGGTGCCGGGGCGGCTCTGCCGGGGGAGGGGGGGGCGGGGCTGCCCCAATTCAGGTTTCGAGGGAGTTCGGGGGGTGCCGGGGTGGCTCTGCCGTGGGGGGGGGGGGGGCTGCCCCAATTCAGGTTTGGAGGTTTTGGCGGTGCCGGGGCGGCTCTGCCGGGGAAGGGGAAGGGGGGAGCTCCCCCTGTTCAGGTCTGGAGGGGGCGGGGGCGAATGCCGCAATGCGAACGGGAGACGCGCGAGCAGGAGGGGAACAGAGAAAATACGAAAAGCGCAAGAAACAGAAACGCCACCGGATGGGCGGCACTGGCTGGAACAAAATTCCAATCACTTGAACTCTGGCCTCGCGCCGTGCCTCTGGCGCGCGAGTTTACGACTGCGGGCGCGCCACTTTTCGTCCTCGCGGCCGCCCGAATCCCTGGCTCGAGGGCGGGGCCGTGCCTCGCGGGCAGCTCCGGGTCCGCCTTTTCGCGGTCGGGGAAAACGGCGGCTGGTCGCGCCATCCGTCGGATGCAGTCTCTGAATCTGCGCTGAATCGTCATCTTTTGTCGTTCGCTGTAGCCAGCGCGCGAGATCGCACGCGACTGATGCCTCGATCTGCCTCGCAATGTTTTTTCTTCCAATGGATCTCCCCGCCGTCTTGCCTCGCGTCTGCAGCTTGAGAGAACGAGACTGCAGCTGCTTGTCCATGGGCGCGTCGTGCGAAATCGCCCCTCGGAAAGAATCGCCTGCCCCGCCTGGCCAGGATCAAGCTGCATTCGCGCCTCCACGGTCGGGCGCTGCTTCTTCGCATGGTCCCCGCGCGCGGCGGAAGCATTGCGCGGGGGGGCGCCTGGCGCGGGACCCCCCTACATCCACGGGCTTGGGTTCGACGCGCAGCGCGCACGCGCAATTTGCCCTCCCCATGTCAAGCGACGCGCACGGCAAGGATTGGCGAGGGGGTAGCGGGGCGCGCGCGAAGGGCCGCGCGGCTTCAACCTCATGAAGCGACTCTTGCTCGAGCGCAAGAAATCCATTCACGAGTGCGCGCGCGCCCGGGCCCCCAGCCACGCGCCCGACAATATAGCGCGCGACCGAACTTCCGCCGCGCGCAAGAGTGGCCCAGAGCGACCTTCGGCGCGCGGAATGAGGGGGAGCAGAGAAGCCAAGTCTAAGCGCGCGAGCAGCCAGCATAGCATCGCGCGCAGCAATCGGGTGGGCCCTGGCGAGCCCGAGCCAAAGGTCACCCCGGCGAAGGGCCACTCTCGCGCGCAGTTGAAACTGCCGAGCGGGAGCGGGGAAAATGCGCCGGCCAAACGCACGTCGAATTGGGCGCGCGCCCGCGCTAGCAGGCGCCGGCGCGCGCCCGGCTTGCGATCAGAACCCAGGGGCGCGAACGCACGCGGCCCGACCGCGCGCGACCCCCCGACGAACTGCTCGCGCAATCTAGCATTCATGTCGCCCGTGGTCATCTTGGACCTATGCGCAAATGCATTGCGAACAGACTTGGGCAACTCCTTGAAAACTTCGCCTCTGGAGAAAACCCATCGCCGCTGCGCGGGGCGCGCGCGGACGCCGCGGCGGATTCCCCCCCCGACAATTCGCCGCCTCAGCGATGTGAGCCTGGATGTCGTCTGACGGAGAGCAACGACAGATCTCCGCGCCCGCGATGCTACTATGATGAAGCCGACGCCAACGCGATCATCAAGATCATCTGGCCAGCCTTCGGCGCCCCCTGACAGCGCGATCAAGCGCCCCGTGTCCGCGACGAAGGTGTCGGATAGTGCTTGTCGCTTCTCTTCGACGCATAAGACGCCGATGCCCTCTTGTTCCAAGGGCTGTTCAGCTTCCATTTGCTCTGCAATGGTGCGCCCCTCAACGTCACTTGAAACAATCGCGAATTCAACGCTGCAAAGAAGCAAACGACCACCCTTGACAACTAAGTCGACGTACTGGCTGAGCCAATCGGCGCAAAACCACATGCAATAGTATGAAGAGCTGCTCCGAGATCCGGGCACAGGGTCAGATCCTTCAAGATCTGCTGTGAAACGCCTCTGCTTGCGCCCGGCTGGCACTTCTATATGCTGTGCTGTCCTGGAATTGCCCTGTGGGTCTACCTTTTGCCACCATCTTCCCGATGCCCCTGAAAGCGCCATGTGCGAGCCTGCCGGTCAGCCTGGACACGAGGTCGAGAAAACCCAAAGCACGCCCGGTCGTTCAGCCCAAAGCCCCAGCCGGGACCGTGCGTCGCCCGGAGCGTGCCTCCTTCGATCGCTGTGTGGGAAACCATCTCCGTGCCCAGCCACACCTTGCCGTCCTGGGGGTCTGCCCACGCCGCCTTCGCTTCGTACCCCCATTGCTTCATTTGGTACTTCAGCCCAAATGCGAACGAATACGCGATACGCTTCTCAAGGGGCTGGTCCGGTTTCGCCCAGACATTGTTCCCCCCTTCCCGGGTAGAAACTGCGACATGGGCCCACCAGCAGGTCCCGATCCGCCCCGTGAGAAAATTTAGCGAATACCACTCCACGAAAGTCCCCTTTCACGTACACCTCGTCGGTCTGCGGCCCATACAAATCCCAAAGCTGGTTCCCCAACCAGTCCATCACTTCCTCCAAGCTCCCGAACGACTGCAATCATCCTATCACGGCTATCCTGCCCATGTCCAAGTTTACGGGGTTGTGGTAGGTCGTGTTCTTGAGCATCGATACTTCGATACTTCCATCTCCACGGCTTTGATGTGGTCTCAAGCTTCCGTGTTCACGCTTCTGGGAAAAACCAGCGCGCCTGTATCCCCAACCCTGTTCTCCAGGCTCGTGGGGCGAACGTCTATGTTCGCAGTTTTGTTCTCCACGTCGCCGAACTTGCCGTCGATCTTCATGCTCATGTTACTGAGGCGATTACCAGAGCTCGCGATGGTGGTGCGAATCGGCTGGACCTCCTGGCGGATGATCGCGGCGATCTCCTGAAGCGATGGGGACTGCTGTGCTGCTGCTGGTGCTGATGCGCCCCCTCTGCGTGCATCAGGAGACGCATCAGGAACCCGAACTGCCGGCGAGGAGATCTGGTGCACCTCCGATCGATCCTCCGCTCCGGGCTGGGAACCGAGGAAAGCAAAGTCGTCCATCTCGTGGAGCGGATTGAGCAAACGCTGCGGGACGTCGCGCTCAAGAAATCCAATAACTGGCGTTCCTACAAGCCTCGTCAAAAATATTCAGAAATGCAATTGGAAATCACGGCGATCGATATTTTCGAGCGGTTGTTAGAAACTGCGTTCTTCAATGCTGCGAGGGGTGTGCCGGATTTTTGACACCCTCGCGTCCAAGTCACTTATCTGGTGTCAGCATTAGAGTAGCGCTGACCATACAAGTATCGAAAACATAATACTTCTGCTTATGTTTGACGAGTGTTGTAGGACTCGCGTGCCCTTGCTGGCCATCGCAAGATATGGGAAAGGGAAATGGAAAGGGTGTCGTGGATACCAGCTGTGAGTGAGGAATACAACGTGGTTCAAATGCAACCGATGTTGAGGCGATCTTGGGCCAAAAAGCACACTTTGAACGACCGATGTGCAGGACTGGCCCCTACTTCCTAAGTATCCGGGAGCCACACTCTGCGGCCATTCCGAGACTGGCGCGGCCAGTGTGGCCATTCCTTCTCTCCCCTTCCCTTCTCCCCCCCCCTCCCTCCCCTCCCTCCCCCCTTGCCCCTCCCTCCCCCCTTCCCTCTCTCCCCGCTTGCTGTCGTCGTGCCAACTCGGCTCCAATGCATCCCTCGGCCGTCTCCACCGCTTCTTGAACCCACGCTGCCGCTGAACAAGAAAGCTTGCTGCCGTCGTCGCGTCTGTCGCGCAGGGGCCTGCCGCGTCGGCGAGGCCTCGGCCGAGCTCTCGGCCTCGCGCAGCTGCCTCCTCAGGCGCTCCACCTCCTCCGGGGCGCGCTCCCAGGGGAGGCGGGGGTGGGAGCTCGCGGGCGGGGGGGGGAGGGAGTCTCCTCCAAGGGGGGGAGCCCCAGGGGAGGAGGAGGAGGGAGGTGTGAAACGACCTCATTCCTCTTCCTGTCCATTATGTCCCTCCTTTCTGGTCTTCTCTCCTCCTCCCCATTCCTGCTGCTGCACTGCTGCTGACCGCTGCCTTTTAGGGCCCTTGAGCCGCTCGCCGCGCCGCCCCGTGGAAAGAGCCCGCGCACGGCCCTCCCTGGCGAGCCCTGACGGGCATTCCATCTCCCGGAGTTCTCGTGCTTGGATGGCTTTCGTGGGGGACATCCTCAGGAGGAGGGGAATACATGTAGGGGGGGAGGGATGGGTGGGGAGGAGAGGGAGAGGGGGGGGCAGGCTTGGTGCGCTCGCGCCACATCTGACAGCCCAACCCCAACCACCCAACCCC